TAAGTATCATACTTGCAATGTGTTATCAAATGAACGGTGAACACGTTATTCAAGTCTTTTTCTCAATTTTTCGTTGTTGATTCCTGAAAAGAAAAGTCCTGACATTCAGAATACCCTGTATTTGTATGGTGAGCAAGGACCTCAGCTGTGGCAAACAGTCCAAGCGAATTTAGGTTTACCCGCGACCCCCTCGACCATTTAACCACTGCATCAAGTACATACATACATATATGGGATCTATTGAAAAATATGAAATTGCACATAACAGATTGATTCCAGATAAATTCAATATCAATTCGTTCAGGTCTAATTTCCTTAGTAAGAAGTTCCAAAATTTAACATCAATATCATCGATTCACACCAATCATCACGCAAGTATGTTTTACAGACTTAACAATACCTTTCTAGCGGAAAATTTATGGGGCATTAAATCAAAACACTATATGGATATGAGTAAAAACAACAGCTGTAATTATATCTAAAATAAATTTTAAAGTTAAACTAACAATAATGCATTGTAAATTATAATAATATATTCGTATGTAAAAAGCAAATGAGTCTGGTCTAAATTATGCAAATCAGTCTACGGCAATTAATAATTTCTATATATTGTGATTCAAAGCACAAACACTGCAAAATCAGCCAATTGCGATATTAATAGGCTTTTGATGTTCATTTGCAGGTGATTTTTGCCAGCCTTGATTTGGATTCGAGTGCTGCAATTTCGAATTTGTTAGGTATGTTGTTTGATACAAATATTTACTCCATAAGGCTGCTATCGTACAAACAATGGAGTCCGATGAATTGCTATGTTTTAGCTATGTTTTCCCATGTACTTTTTCACGCTGAACTCGTGTTCAGACTCTTATCTGAAGTCAAAATCGGGGACAATCCCCCATATTTGTCTGGCCAATCGAAACCACGTGTGCTAAAACAATATTCTCTATTGTAAACGATTTGGTCACAATGGTGACCTTTTTCAGTACGGTAACTTTCACAATATAATACAAAACTAAAATATATTGTCAAAGTCATTGTACTAAAGGTCACCGTAGTTTTTCAGCACATGGGGTTTTGGTTGGCCAGGGAAGTATGGGGGATTATCGACATGATAATCACAGGATAAATTTCAGATGTTACATTAATCAAGATTGGCGGTCGGTGGACGAATAATAAAGTATGTAATTTTGGCATTTTTGGTGGATGTGCATCTTTCAGGGTCTGAGAAATGTACATCCAACAACATATTTCTTCTATTTTGACTTCAGACTCGAGTTTAGAAAGAAAAATACATGGAAAAAATATTGTTAAATCCCCAGCATACACATCTTTTTTTTGTGGACCTGTGCGCTTTATCAATTTTTTTTCCAAAATGTGTCCACCGACCCCCAATTTTGATTTCAGATTCGGGTTCAGCGAAGAAAAGTACGACACCAAATATAATTTTTTCCGCATAACTAATGAAAAAAAAAATATTTCCTGTCCATCCTAAATCAGAGGCGTAGAAGCAGAAACACAATTCTACTGAAAAGTTTGAATATTTAAAAAAATGTTGTCCTGATTCACTTATATTTCCTAAACACGCAGAACACTGCAACTTATACAGGGTCTCCTCAAAGAAAAGTTGAAACTTTTCCTAAACAACTACGATTGAAATGACAAATCTTTGTGGTAAAACAGCTGCGATAACGTAAAAAAGTACTACTCTTTTGATTCGTAATTTCAACTACTGCCCTATCATATATGTATTCCTCGTAAATACAGTTGACGCTATTCCCGTTCGATTTGGAAACACGACTGTGTTAACTTATCCCTAAATTTACAACATATGAGGTTGTCTGGGTCTTCTGTTTATCTCGATAGCCTTAGCACGACATAAGCATGCATACGCAGTACGGGACGGAAACATCCAGGAAAACGATTTGATTACTCTCGCAAAGAACACTCACCGTAAAGTAACATCGACAATTTCGTTATATCCGATTTGTAAATAAACAAATAGGTTGACCTACTGACCACGCGGACTGGCTCGTAGTACATTTGAACGTTGGTTGCAGATGCGGGCTGGCCCATCAATATTTTTTTAAACTTAATATCTCGGTTACTTTAAGGCTTGAGTGTACATGTTACTAGATATGGTTGCTTATTGTACATGACCTATGAGCTCTGTAAAGTTCAAACTTTAAGAACATCCTGTATCAATGAGCTCTTTGGTCTATAATTGAAGTGGATAAATCATTACGAGACGCTAAAACACTTTCATATATGTATACATATGTGATATACAGGGTGTCCGCAAAGTTGGGGTTTTCCTTTACATGACGTGGAGATCTTGAAAACATAAGCAATTTTTCTTAGTACCATATACACCAATGTCTTAAGGGAACCGAGATAAAGGGCTCTGCAACATCAAAAATATCTGAATACCGTCCTGTAGCCGCGCCATCACGGAGTGGTACAATGTCACTGGCTCAACGACAGAACTGGGTCGGGGGTCGGGGTCAGTGTGTCAGGTCAGTATGCAACCTTCAACCAATGGTTACGGTCACGCCTGTACAGGTAATCGCGTAGACGAGAATCTCTAGAGACGTGGCTAGAGAAGTGCAAGGATCAAAAACTAAAATGTGGCAAACGCTGCGTGAAGAGGGGCAATCCGTTTCACGTCCAACGTGTACAAGCCCTTCAACCTGACAATTTTCCAGCAAGAGTGCGGTTTTGTGAGTGGTTGTTGCATCAACATGACAATAATCCGGACTTTTTGAAGTGCATATTGGTGACAGACGAATCTACGTTTCACGCGTAATGGGGTGAATAACTTTCGCAACACTCATGTTTGGTCAGTAGAAAATCCGCACGCAATTACGCAACATTTTGCCTTCCTTGTTAGAAGATGTGCCTTTAAGTGTAAGACCATCAATGTGGTTGCTGCGTCTGCTCGGTAGCGCTTCAGCTGATTTCATTTTCTGTTGGAGCGGTATGATTTCGGGTAGAGACGTACTTAGCCCTTCTCGTCAACTGGAGAGTGAGTACTTTTTCCTTTACTTTTTTTTACTTGGTCGCCCCCGTTTCACTACACATTACCTTTGTTATTTCAAGGGTAGTTGTTCCTGAAAAGGAAAACCCCAACTTTGCGGACACCCTGTATTTGTGAAGTTCATGTAACTTATGAGTTTCGGCTATGGAATGATACTCTTTTTGTGAACGCCACTGCTTTTCTTTATATTCTATTATTCATTATATAACTGACAGGTTGTGTATACAGGCGGTCAGGCGCGAGTACATTTTAAGTTTTGACAGCTAAATAGAGGCGAACGTTAGCGTTAATTATTGGCCGGTATTTTATTTACTTAGATGATAGATAACGATATCGTATGACGTATATCTATAGAGAAAGCGTAGGGTATTGAATATATTGGAATACCTGTTTTATTTGTGTGAGATAATTGATACTTAGTAACGATAAGCAACGCATTTCTAACGTAAACGGAAACTTTCTTCTGTCTTTGATCGGGCCCGAGTTCCGATCAGGAGCAACACTGCACGATCATACTAATAAACCAAAAATGTCATTTTTTAAGCTCGATCCTATGAATTTATGGGACGAAAATGATTTTCTTGGTTCTGAAGATGTCTGCGAATCGAAGACGGCGTATCAAATGTGATGTGATTTAGAGAATGATGTATGTGGACATAAAAATATGGAGATTGACCGTTTTATTCTACCGGGGGCCGGTAGTTGTCAAATACCTAGTAACAAATAAACATACAGTTCTTGTGGTAGGAGAGTAAAATCAATTCAAAAATAACGGAACCTAAAATTACTTCATCGCCCCAGGTCGTAATGAAGCTTTGAGGCTAAAAAACCAGTGGAGCGGTTGAAAAAATTTTGAAATAATATACTCAATTTAGCGGGTTTAATAACGCTGGTGCCATCTGATACAATTGCTTTCAATCTGACAGATACAGATCATGGCTTCCAATAAAGCTCCATCGTGTAAATCAAATCAAATTCGTTCATTCTCCTGTAGATGTTACAAATAATGGCGTCAACTTCGTAAAGAATTCTGTTCAGGCAAGTTAGCCCTTCTGAGAAAAAACTTAGCTAAGAACATGTATAAAAAAATCAAATAACCTTCCACCTTCCCCTAAGAGAAATTTCTGCGGGCGCACATGATCGTTCTGGATGACGATATTGACTTTTACATCATACATCACAAGTTTAAGCGATTTTTATTTATTTCAAAAACTATGAAGCTACGAGCGGTACTTTCTTCTTTTTCCGAGTTATAGACGGGCCAAGAATTATTGGACAGACGACTGACGAAAATGAGTAACATGGTTTTTCGTGATGTACGAGGTTTGTTCAAAAAGTATCGCAAATTTTTAATTTTCGCGGGGTACGTATGTACGATTTTCGATCTTTTTATGGCGTTATGTTGGTACTCATGATCTTTACTAATTTTGAAAATATCAGCCATTTTGAATGTTCAGTCAGTTTTTAACAGCTAGTGTGCCTGGACATGTTTTAGCTTGTCTCCGTTTTTTGTCTATTCCAAAAAATAGATCAAAGAATTTGTATTGAATTTTGTGTAAAAAACAACTTGAAGTGCGTGGACATATTCCAAATGTTGACTGTTGCATACGGCAAAGCTACTTTGGACAAAAGCAACGTTTATCGGTGGTAAAAAATGTTCTCACAGGGCCGAGAAGATGTGAGCGACGAAAAGCGTTTGGCATGGGTATCATGTAAAAAATGGTTATTGGAAATGTTTATCCCATATAAGTGGGCCGGTAACTTTATAAAGACCTTTGGAAATGGGTACAATCTCACCTATCTCTGCCACTCAACCTTCCTCCTAAGTTTGCGATATAGACTGCTCCGGAATAACTAGTAGTTTGTAAGACGATAAATAAACATCGGTTGATCGAACCAATCCGTTTCAACATTAAGGCTTCAATGATATTCTAAGTCACAAAAGTACATGAGAAAAAAATCGTACTTACAGTCTTTCGGTGTCCAAAGGTATACCTCTGGGAACGTTGGCCAGCCCTCTCCTGGAGCAGTCGACTGCGGTGCCGACGCAGGTGCACGGTCTGGGACATCTGCCACCTTGGGTGTAGAAGTGCTCCTCACCAACCGCGAACGCGACCAAGCACGCAACGCTCGACAGCAACACCACGGCGGTCCATTGAGACCGCATCTTGCGGTCGATACTTAGCGGACAGCCCCCGTATAGTTACTGGGCCGCACGAAACGCGCAAGAAATACCAATCGGAACGGATCTGTAACGAAGAAAAAAAAAGTGATTTACAATTAATCAAATATGTAATTGATATATGGACGAACGGTAGTATGATAGCAGAAAAATGGCATCAAGTAGGTTGACTTGAAAAATACGTGGATCAAGTCAGTCAAATGGACCTAAGATCATTACTTATTTCGTGCGAAGATTTCATCAAAATCCGAGCGGCACTTTCCAAGGATTAGCGGTCAGACCGACAGAAATGAATGACATGTCTAACTAATTTTCGATTTTTTTTGCGATTACAATACTTATATATGGCCATACAGCTTATTCTGGAGAAGAGATGAAGATCGCTCAAATACATTTCATCCCAGCTAACTATATTTGTCAAACCTGTGAGTTAGTTACATCATGCAGTGACTGTGGACAAAGCGGGAGTCCATTCTGGGGAAACGTTGTCCTTCTATTACAAAGATAAGGGAAACTGGGATGAGCTATATAACCTTGCTAATAGGTTCAGATGACTGACGATGCAACCCTGAGCAACCTCTGGAAAGGATGCGCAAATAGTCCAACGAATTCTAGTTACCGTGATCTTTGCTAATTATTCTTGTAACACTGTTGACTTTGACTTCCTCAGTATAAATTATTGCAGGAATACGCCATCATTTGGTGAGCGAACAATTTTAATTAGCAATTATCCAAAATAAGGAAACCTTCCGCAGATGCAGATCCATTCTACATAAACATTCATTCTCTCATTCCGCTAGCGACCTGTGTGTCGTGACCCCTTCTTCAAAACCCGGAAACGTTCAGACGAGTACACCTCTGGCGATTTGTTTATTTCTTCCTGCATCAAGTGGGATTGCGGGCCAGGTTTCTCCATGAAGCCAAAGTATGTCAAATACATGCGATTTGAAATAAAACAAGGTTCGTGTGTAATTTTTTTTGAAACGTTGACTTTAATACAATTTTGGTTCTTGGATCCCAGGTCTCGGAGTTCTAAGACAACGTGTGTGAGGAAATATTTGTTCCAACTAAAAGGCTCGGATGTACGCTATTATCTAAAGAATATGACACCCTTCAAATGTTCTCTGCGACTTACCACAGGAACTATGTTTACAGTGTCGAAGGCCAAGCGCCTACAGAGCCGCAGAAAACCACCATAGTTTTGCGCGTAAATGCTATTTTGTATAACCATATAATACTAAGCGTTAAATGAATCTAGTATGAGAAACAAGAATCCGTTATTTTTATGGCCAAGCTTCTAGAATAACGTATCATAAGTTTTTTGTGCTACCCTGTTTACAACAAAATCCTATTTTCTCGTATTTTCACAACAAAAAAAGTTTACTTGTTAAAATTGTCTAAAGGTAATAGTTTTCGAGATATTTGTTTTTAAAACTTCCAATGCATTATTTGTACCATGATGATAAAACATTTTTATAACATAATAATCAAGTTGCTTTGGATAATATCTGAGTAGCGTTGCTATGGTTTCTAGTGTTTGTCATAATATTGCTTTAAACTTAATGAATAATTTTAAGTTGACAATAAGTTGTTAAACATCATGGAGTATACGTATGCATTTAATGTACGGATTGGCAAGATGTACTGCTTTAAAAGCACGAAGATTGTACGCTGACAGATTCCCTAGTAGACCTGCCTAATTCAAAGACTTTCCAACGAATCGATCAGCGCTTACGAGAAACTGGTAAGAAATCATTATAGCTTTATGTTGAGTAGTAAACACCATTTGGGTTTCAGGTAGATTTGCTCAAAATATGGGCCCACTAGTGGAGCTCCCAGAACTGTAAGTACAGCTGAAGTTGAAGAAAATATTTTAGATCCTGTCTTTGAAAATCCTACAGTTGGGGTTAGGAATGTAGCTCGAGAATTTCAAGTTTGAAAATGTACAGTAAATACCATTTTTCAAGAGCAACTGATCCATCCATACCAGCTGCAAAAAGTACATGGTTTAAGCGCGGATGATGACCCCACAAGGGCAGAATCTACTCAGATATTATCCAAAGCAACTTGATTATTATGTTATAAAAATGTTTTATCATCATGGTACAAATAATGCATTGGAACTTTTAAAAACAAATATCTCGAAAACTATTAGCTACAGACACTTCTAACAAGTAAACCTTTTTTGTTGCGAAATACGAGAAAATAAGATTTTTCGGTCAGTTGTTGTACACAGGGTAGCACAAAAAGGTTATGTTATTTACCGAAATAGTGCTGTACATGGCGTCCTCTAGAAGTTTGACCATAAAAGATAACGGATTCTCATGTCTCATACTAGAAACCTCCCTATACCGAGTTTTATACCAGAATCTGAAATACTGCTCAAGCAATAAGGAAAAATATAAAATAAAATTGTAGCCATATATCTCGCAAACTATCAACTTTTGGACTAAGGTATGTTTAGGTCAATTCACATATTTTGGTCTGTAATATCTCCAGTTTCGAGATTCCCCAACCTTTCTCAGACACCCTGTATAATGGTCAGAATAACATAGAAGAAGCGATGTATGTCGTATGTCAAGATAAGCTGTGTCTCTGTATATTGTGGTGACTGGGAATTTTATGAATGAAAATAATATCAGTTTCCTGGTTCATAGACCTATTCAATCAATTAACTCGTCAAGCTGAAGACGGCTTATTTGGACAGCTCAAAACGTTTATTTTCGTTGCAATTCACTTACGAAACCTGACGATTTACGTACGTTGTACATCGAAAGCGGCAGACAGTTTGATTGTAAATAAAATAAACACAAAGTGCACAGCTTTTGCTACCGATTTGACTCTACGGAGCGGCGCGTTTTCTAACAAAAACATCATTTCAATGCATGAATGTAGGTCAGCTCTATGCACAGCGATCGTTAAACTGCATTCATACTATGTCTGGAAATTGAGAAATACGCAAATTTCTGAACGCGGAGCATGTAAAGTGCAGTAAAACGTCGAGTTTAATATGGATAATTTTAAATACATATGGGAATAATAAAAGTCAATGTAAAACTAAAAATATGTTGTGCAGTCTGGAAATCTTGGAAAAGTTTCAAGAAATATTTAGTTGAGTGTCATTAATACGTCATAACAGTCTAGCCTTGCACATCACCTATTATACAATAATTGTTTCTTGATGGGCATATTACTTCGAAAATATGTATGAAGTAGTTCCTTCTACATACATCGATAGTGAATATATGAAGTATGTTGACTCTTTACTTCCCATGCAACGCCGTCATCAGCTCATAAAGGATTATGTTTAGCATAAGCTAGACCTTGTAAGAAAAAACTCAGTTAAAGAGGTTCGTACATTTAGTCCATAGACATTCTTTCCCTGCCCTACCAGTAGTCCATATGACAACGTCGCCTCTCCCCGATAACTAGCCAGGTCACCAGTCAGAATCTACGATGTGCGAAATATGTCTAATAAGTGCCTATAAGTACACTAAGCAAAAAAAATTAGATACACCCTTCAGACCTCCCCTAGAACCCCACACTCAACTTTTTATCCCTACTTTTTTTTTAATTATCAGGATCCTCTGAAACGTCAAACATAAAATTTACGTGATTTTTGATTTTTTCAGAGAAGCTAGATAATATGACCCCACTAATGCCAATCTCATGTTACATACCATCAGAGCCAAACTATGTAACTCAATTCTCATGACTTTCAGGCAACACGCCCAGCTACTACAAGTGAACAGTGAGTTCCAAGAGTACATTTTTTTTAAACCTACATAATGTCAGTTACGTAATACGGGTGCGTTTATGGGATGATCGTGATAACATACAATATACAGAGTGCCACAGAATGAGATGAGAATATCTTAAAACACAAGAAATGATGCTAAAATTCGTAGAAAATAATATCTTAAGAAGTTCGTGTACAGATGCCTAAATAACGCCACTGGGGATCAGTTTTTCTCAACTTTTGAAAGGCAATGTGTAATTCAACAAAATTTTGACTGCTTAGTAAATAGTTGAGAACTGACATTGTCGCGTCAGTGATCAGATGGACGAGCCTTTACACAATATTGATGATGCTTTTCACATTTGCTTGATTTTGATAAAATGAGCCGTTTTAATTTATGTATTCAAACATTTTATTAATCAGAATTTTGTACGGCAAGGACAAAAATCACGATCTTTTTGTAGCTAACCTCAATGGACATGTAGGTGGATTGTTGAAAGTAAATATATCCCTTTTTCAACTATCTCTCTCAGGAAAGTAGTGGCTATTATTTTCAATAAAATGCAAATGCCGAATGAACGAATAGGTTGTTGTAACTAAACCAGGTGATATATTATTTCTTGATTTAATATGAGAATTAGAGTCCCACATGGCACAAATCATAAAATTTCTCTCTAGCTCGAGAGTCAGTTTACAAGAAATCGACCTTATTGATTAGATCCATACGTTCAAGAACGCCTCATTGGTTTTATTTGTGCCATAGGCGCAAATTTTGATTTCCGCGGGCCCATAGTAAAATCGGGGCTTACTGGCTTGTATCTGTGTAAAAGTGAGCCCCGGTGCACATTTTCCATAGAAACTAATGAAATGATTTTTTTGTGTCTCATTTGCATCCGAAATAACGACACAACACACCCCGAGTAACCAGAGAAAGACTACAAAGACTCGGATTTTTGTTTGGCTGTTAACTGAGTGTGAGCAACACTCACAGACAATATGTAAGGTTTTGACATATACAGCTTATAATCTTAAAAATGTCCTTTAAATATGAGTGAGAAAGTAAACATTTCGAAACTGTAGTAACGTCGTGGTTACGTAGAAGATAATCCAAATTTTCTCTTTGTACGCCTTCCTTCTCTAAATAACTTCACGATATTCACAATTCTTTATAAACGATTTGAGTGTACACTCCAGAAAATTGGAAAGTAATATCTAAACACACGACCCTAACAGGGAATACATATTTTTTCATCGCCGTATACAATATACAGACGCTTCATTTTCCTGGGGAATTTCCGATCGCTTTTATAAAAAAGAAACGTACTCCC